CCTCCCGCCCCTCCCGCTGCCCCCCAGCAGTAGGGCGGCAGGCGTCGCGGCAACCGCCGCAGGGGCGGCCGCAAGCAGCAACAGGCGCCGAGGGGGGAGGGCCTCGCCAGCAGCAGCAGCAGGTGACTCCCCCATGGACGTACGACACCAACCCGTGGATAGGCGTTGTCCACGCATACTCCATGCCGGTGCCTCGGGCTTCGGCTCCGGGCTGTTGGGGAACGTAGTAATTTTAAAAAAATTCCTACGCACACGCAAGATCATGGTGATGCATAGCAACGAGAGGGGAGAGTGTTGTCTATGTACCCTCGTAGACCGAAGCGGAAGCGTTGACGCAACGTAGAGGAAGTAGTCGTACGTCTTCCCGGTCCAACCGATCCAAGCACCGTTACTCCGGCACCTCCGAGTTCTTGACACACGTACAGCTCGATGACGCACCCCGGGCTGATCCAGCAGAGCTTCAGGGAGGAGTTCCGTCAGCACGATGGCGTGGTGACGATCTTGATGTTCAACTATCGCAGGGCTTCGCCTAAGCACCGCTACAATGTGACCGAGGTGTAATATCATGGAGGGGGCACCGCACACGGCTAAGGAACGATCATGAAGATCAACTTGTGTGTCTATGGGGTGCCCCCCGCCCCCGTATATAAAGAGCCAAGGGGAGGGGGCGGCCGGCCAAGGAGGGGCACGCCAAGGGGGAGTCCTACTCCCACCGGGAGTAGGACTCCCTTTCTTTCCTAGTTGGAGAAGGAGAAGGGGGGAAAGAGGAGGAAGAGGGGAAGGAAAGGGGGGGCGCCGCCCCCCTTCCCTTGTCCTATTTGGAATAGGAAGGGGAGGGGCGCGCGGCCCCCTCCTGCCTCCTTCTCTCTTCTCCCTCAAGGCCCATGTAGGCCCAATAACCCCCCGGGGGGTTCCGGTAACCCCCGGTACTCCGGTAAAATGTTGATTTCACCTGGAACGATTCCGATGTCCAAATATAGGCTTTCAATATATCGATCTTTATGTCTCGACCATTTCGAGACTCCTCGTCATGTCCGTGATCACATCCGGGACTCCGAAGAACCTTCGGTACATCAAAATACATAAACTCATAAAGAAACTGTCATTGTATCTTTAAGCGTGCGGACCCTACGGTTCGAGAACAATGTAGACATGACTGAGACACGTCTCCGGTCAATAACCAATAGCGGGACCTGGATGCCCATATTGGTTCCTACATATTCTGCGAAGATCTTTATCGGTCAGACCGCATAACAACATACGTTGTTCCCTTTGTCATCGGTATGTTACTTGCCCGAGATTCGATCGTCGGTATCCAATACCTAGTTCAATCTCGTTACCGGCAAGTCTCTCTCGATCATAATGAAGTGATCAGTGCGTGGAAAAATTGTGAGGTCCGTGGTTGCCTCCGTGACTGGGTCAATCTTTCTGCACCACAACATATTCTTTCCAAAGGAACAGGAAATGAGGGGGAAATTATGATGATGTGCATCCTCCATCACTAAACCATGAATTCTCGCTGTTCTGCGTTTGCATTTCCATCTTATTTATTATACGTATGTGACTTGTTGATTAGCAGGTTACAAGTCATGTTTGGGCGCCTATTCCAAAAGAAAAAGAAAAGGTGAGAGACATACCACATGTCCACATGACGGCGAATTTGGCTGAGCTTGTGGTACTCTGCAACTATTAATCCATCAGGAATCAAACGAATGATGTTGCACCCCTGCTTGCTCGTTGTTAGTCAATTACATTGTTGAGGAAATTGTTAACTCGTAGCTGCTCGGTTGGATGGGGAGTAGGGGATTAATAGGCTAATCGGCAAGTTAATCGGCCATTTAATCAATTAATCGGATGATTTATCGCTTTGTCGGCTACTCGGTGACTTAATGAGTAGGGATTAATCAGCAAGTTAACTGGTTAATCGGATGAATTCTTGAACAGGGGTCAATTAAACCAATGACAGCGAAGGGTGTCCACATGAAGTCTTGACTCTGGAGGGTACCCAACTTCGTAGGAGAGGTCTGCTAATATATTAGTCAATTATCATTTACATGTGTTTCTTCTCTAACAACTGAGGGATGTTGAAGGACATACAATAAACTGGAATCCTTTTGGATTAGTCCAAATTCTTATGCACTAGAGTGCCACTGCCACTTGAGTAATTTACAACAGAGAAGCCTGATCTGCTGCATGTTTATTGGCTGGACAATATTGCCACCACATGCGCCCTATACTACATACCCACCCCATTTCACTTGGGCATATATACTTTCGTTATCAGTTCAAATTCTTTTATTGGCCACCAACAGGTTGACCTCCTCTATATAAGTCAAGTTGCTTGGATGGGATCCTCCTCTCCTCGCTGAGGAGCCCAACCACTGATTTCCCAAATTCTCATTCCTGCAGGGCCTTGACTCCAGGTAAGTTCAAGTTTCCCAGCACTTGCTTCCAACTAGTTTCTTCTGCCTTTTGTCTGCAAGGAATATTGTCATCAAAATAGAGCGGTTGTTATGAAATATTTGATGGTTTAGGTATTGTGTAGTGAATGGGATTCTTACTTGTGTGGTGCATGCCGTAGGGGGTTTCCTGGCCAGCTAATTGGAGGTGTTTCATTTATGGCAAATTTTAGCATGGTCTCTCTTAGTCTTACCTCCCCTTTTCACATGAGAGGTAAGAGTACATAATAGATCTGAGCCATTGATTTGATTAAAATGTGGTTTGATTAACTCTTATCTTCTTCCTCTCATGTGAAAAGAAGGGTAAGAGAGAGCATGCTAAAATTAGTTAGTTGGTCACTGCGGAAATAGTATCCACCATGATACCATTAGTACTCGGGAGATGAGCACCAGTTGTATGTCTACCGATATCATTCTGTAGTTTACACTTGTACCTCATTTGTAGCCACAATTATTGTTTGTTAAAATTAAATATAAGATATTGTCTCACTGAAGGCTCTCCTAAGAAGAATAACAACGCCCAATGGACTACTTGTCTGAGAAAATGACCTTGTCGGATTCGAATGCAAAGGCTATTCAATTGCATTTGTTAAGAACAATAACAGAGGTTTTGCAGAGAAATTGAAAGTTGGTAGTGGTGGCTATGGAGAAGTTTACAAGGTAGGCATGGTTAATCATATTATGTTTAATCTGTTCTACAACTAGTCATATTATAATTTTTGTTACCATCGGATGGTATCTCGAACAACCAACCAAGTCTTGATCAATATGAACAGGGATTGCTCAATGGGGATGAAATTGCTGTCAAGCAGCTTTTTCCCGTTCCTGGACTTAATGATGAGGCATTTGATAATGAATTTCGCAACCTTAAGAAGGTTCAACATAAAAATGTCATACAGATGATTGGGTATTGCTATGAGATATCACATAGAGATGTTGAGTACCAAGGACAATTCGTTTGGGCTCAAGTAATAGATCGAGCTCTCTGCTTTGAATATATAAAGGGAGGAAGCCTTGTCAGCCATATTTCTGGTATGATGCTGCTCTAATTCAATTTTTCTGTACTATTTACTAGCTTGCAATTGAAATATGATTACACCATCTTGTGTCCAATCGACGTGGATATTTTTCCCCGCTGCAGATGAGTCATGCATACATGATTGGCCGACAACATACAAAATAATTCATGGGGCTTGCGAGGGCCTGCACTACCTACATAAAGGACAAGAACGGAAGATTTTTCATCTGGACTTAAAGCCAGACAATGTATTGTTGGATGAAGATTTTGTGCCCAAAATAGGGGATTTTGGTTTGTCAAAACTCTTTGGGTCTTCATATACCCACCAACTAAGCAGTTGATATACAGCTCATGTGTAGATAGCCTAGTTCTGTTTATAAAACTTTTCATGAGTATTATATATGCAGTACTTTTATCACACTAACTACTGTGCGTGCGTGTGACCGGTGATTATGTTGTCATGCAGTGGGTTCATGCCACCAGAATACATAAACAATTGCCATGTTCACCAAAGAATGACGTTTTTAGTTTGGGAGCCATAATTTTCCACATGATGGCTGGAAAAAAGGGCTGCCAAGAATATTGGGATGCACGTCAACGTCCAAATTTTTCCGCAAAAATTCAACAAGAGTTTATTGGGAGTGTAAAAGATTTATTTTCCCCTTTTGAGCTTAATTAAGTGATTGTTGTGCCCTACCCCTGTTTATGATGCGAGTGATACATACATTGTCTATGTTTCTACAATTTTTTAATAAGATATATGTTGCTACTTGACAGGTACAAGAATACTGGAAGACAAAGATGCTGGCAACAGAAGGTTATAGATGGGACGAAACAGATTTGCTAGGAGTAACAACATGTATTGACATGGCAATGCGTTGTGTGGAGAACGAACGAGACAAAAGACCTTATATGAAGGACTTTATCAGTGAGCTCAACAAACTAGATTCTGAAGTCGTGGAGATGTTGAAGAAAGATCCGAAACCACTTATATGCCAGCTGGTACAATATATAACCTTCATACTCACATGTCATACTATAGTATGTAGCTGAACACAGTGCCTATCATGGACAGTTAATCCCTTGAAAATTTGCCTTTGCAGAAAAGGAAAAATCGTGTAAATGATTTAGAAGTGGTGAAACAACATAAAAGTCTGAATGGACCGGACCCTCTATCTTATCCCCTCAGCTCCCTCCCGTGTCGCCCCGGCACGGTGACCGGGGGGCTCCAAATCTGGCGCGTCTAGCCCCCTTCCCTCCCTCTCCCGCCTCCCCCGCCGCCGACCCGGGGCTCGGACGGGCAAAGCCCAACCGGAGCCGCCGGCGGCGGGGCCCTCGCATTCCCATGGTAGCTAGGGTTGGCGCAGCGCAGCCCCTCCATCCTGGGCGCGTCGCGGGCGCCGGGCATCGCGGCGCGGCGGCGCACGGGGTCGTGGTGGGCTCCGGTGGTCCTGTCGGGCTTCGGGCGGCATAGTTGGTGGCGGGGCGTGCGGTTGTTGCTGCGGCGGCGGGGATAGCACGCCAGATCTGCGCGGTGGCGGCTACTCGCGGCGCGGGCCGGGATCAGCAAGGGCCTGCCGGCGGCGCGCGGCGGCTGATGCGCTCGTCGTCGGCGGCATGGTGGCGGTGGTGGTGTTGCGTGCCGGCCGGATTTCGCCTTTTTTCTGGCCGGCGGCACGGGATTGGGGCCCGGGCCCGGCGCGGCTGCGGTCCCGGCTGTGGGTGGTGGCGGAGTGGTGGCTTCGCCGTGCCGGCTCCACAGCAGCTCGGTGGGTCGACTGGGGCGGCAGCTGGCTTTTCGGCGTCGGCTTGTCTCTAGGCGGCCCGTTTCGACCTTCGGCCCTCTCCTCGTCGACTGGTTGCTATCTTCATCGAAGGTTCGGCCCTCCCCCAACTTCGGTCCATCGCTCGTCTCGCGCTCGGCAGCAGGACCGACCTCGTCTCGCGCCCGGCAGCAGGTCCAATCTCGTCTCGCGCCCGGCAGCAGGACCGACCTCGTCTCCCGCCCGGCAGCAGGACCATGCTTGTCTCGCGCCCGGCAGCAGGACTCTGCTCGTCTCGCGCTCGGTTGCAGGACGGGTCGATGGAGGCCAAGTTTGGCCGGCCTCTGGGTTTCGGCATTGGGGGCAGCCCAGGGGTGCGAAAGGCGGTTCCTTTCCGCTCGTATCTTTGGTTGGGGTAGCGGTGGGTCTCGTGTGAGGTGGTGTCCAGGTCTTGGATGCCAGGGCGGCGGCCCTGGTGGTGGCTCCGCGGTGCTCTTGGGCAGAGCCCGTGGTTAGGTGCTGCCCGGTGGCCATGGCCGTGTGGGCGGCGTGGTCAATGGGATGTGGCGTCCGGTGGTGGTGAGTGTTGACCGGGGTGAAAACCTGTTCTATCTTCGGACGGACTGGCGGCGGCGAAGCTCGCTCCCTTTTTGAAGGCGTCATTGCGGCTCTCATTGCCCGTCGTGTTGCTCCAGGGGAAACTCTGATCCTCGGGTCGGGTGGTGACGGCGCTCTGGTGTCGTAACCTTCCTGAGGGTGCCGCTTTGGAGCACACGGTTCGTCATATGCGGTTTCTTCTCTTCACGTTGGCGTGTCCACGGTTAAGGACTCCGGTTGCTCTTGTAGTACTAGGGATAGTGTTGTTGCGCTCAGCGCCTATGTATCCAGCCTTGTGTGTGTGCGTGTGTTGTGGTGGTGTGTGTTTGTATTTGAGCTGTGGTAGGTCATTACTTTATATATAAAGCGGGGCGAAAGCCTTTTTCGGTAAAAGTCTGAATGATTTGGGAAAAGATATATGGGTGGATCCATCCGTGGAGCTCCGCTTCCCGTTCGAGCCAAAGGACATATCATGCTGCCTGCAGCTCACCAACAAGGCTGCCTCCAGCTACATTGCCTTCAATATGAACATCGGCGTAAACAAGTATCGTGCACAGCCAAGCAAGGGGATTTTAGCACCATGTTCCAAGTGCTACATCACCCTAACCCTGCGAGGGCAGGAAGAGCCGCCTCCTAATATTCAGTGCGTTGACGTGTTGGTCATGCAGGGCATAAGAGCGAGCGTGAACTTCAGAGCCGATGAAATCACCCAAGACTTCCTAGCAAAGGCCAGCGCCATGGATGAGGTGATATTGCCCATTGTCTATGTTCCTTGGACAACCAGCCTCTGTCTCAATAGAGAGACTCGTGGAATGTGATATTTTATACTTGACGCAGAAGACATACTCCTTGTTTTCATTTCAGTTGGATATTGCTTTTATTTTCTGTACTTCACTTGTGAATTGTTATCATGTACTTCATTCAGTACAGAAAGCAAGGCAAACTAGAATGTCCCTTTATTTTCCTACACAGATTCCTTGTGCAGTAGACAGGATGCCTAGAAGCAAAAGCAGAGTCATGTAATGAGTAAAATAGATGATGGTTGAGTTCCTACTTTACTTGTAAACATCTTTTTAGCTCACTTGAGATGTCAGAAACATCTTTTTAGCTCATTTGAGCTGATTGGCACAGGTTCGCTCAATATCGTCATATTCTGAAAAAGACGATGCTAATTTGGCCACGGTGTGCTCTTTTTCTCTTCAAAGAACCAAACTTTGTCCTGCTTACCAAATTTCTTACCACGGTATAAAGTTGAGTGCAGTCTCATTCTTTAGCAGCACAGGAAGCACGTCTGGCATTTCCTTTTGGCATGTTGATGTAAACCTGACCATGTAGACTCGTTGTTGGTCATAGAGCATAGGTTTCCTGTAAACTAGAGAAGTTAGATTAGAGACTACGAGGGTGAAATTCAGTAAGCCGCCGCCACCGACTGGAAATGCACACGGGCAACTGCTGGCATTCTGGACGCCGCACCGAGCCACGTTTGCTCGACCTTCCTGCAGCCGGGCAACATCCCCTGGATTTTCTGTCTGTTTTCTTTATTAGTTGATCGGTGCACTGACAAAAATAGCGCGCTATAGCGCCGCTAATAGCATGCTATAGCGCGTAGAGAATTGTGTCGCTAAATAAATCAATGTACAATGCCTTGCTAACAGTACGCTATAACGTGTAGAGAATTGTGTCGCTAAATAAATCAATGTACAATTCCTTGCTAATAGCACGATATAGCACACTATATCACGCTAATAGCATATTTTCAGGGGCGAAGCTATTTTCTGTAGCGCACTATTTTTTCCCTGATGTTCAAGGCTTTTTCCTGAAAGTTGGGTGTTTCGGATAGTTGTTGTGATCATTTTTTTTTGTAATGAAAGGTCAAACGTTCTTCAAATTAGCTGAACCATTTTCAAGTAGTAGTAGTTTTGTAGTTGGACGCACGTTTGGTTCCCTCTTTTAAGTTGTGGATTCTTCTTTTCTGGCTGCAAATGTGTAGTGCCATTGATTACCAGCTCGACTAGAGAAGCCACTACACTACGTCGGATAGACATGTGCGTCGACCATTCATTCCTGCCCGGTCTGTCTATGCACAATACACAGCCTGCAAGGCAAGAACCACCAGGAGCAGCAGCAGCAGCAATCTCTGCGCTGGAGGAGCTTGTTGTTGCCGTGGCCTTCCCCTAGCTAGCCCTAGCTTCCCACTAACTCGCTCTCCCTCTCTGCTGCGCTCGAACTACACGAGGAGGACGAAGACAGAAGGAAGAAGAAGGACACGGGGAGGTTTTCCAGCGTACGAACACTTTCCTCGAGCTCGAACTCGATAACCCACGGCCATTACAACAAGCCTCGCAGGTGCTCTTATACCCTGGGCACACGCCGGGCACGACCTGCACGTCCCCCGCCCAGTCTGGTCACGACCTGGTCCGCTTCGGCCGCGCCCACTCCACGCACACACACGCCTGGGTCGCCCCGAGCCCGCACTAGTCTGACCCGATCAGACCGCCCTGCTCGCCAACGGCCACCTACGTCTACGGCATGGCTACCGCGCGCACACACACGCACCCATGCACACACACATGCACGCACTTGCTACGGGCCCGACGCACCCGACGTGGCCAGCGCGCGCCCGCACACGCGCTCGCTGCGCCCGATCGTCGCCGCGGCTTATTACGGCCAACAGAGCTGACGGATAGGAGCCAAGGAGAAAACATGTGCTGCTGTTGTCCGTCAAGTCGCAAAAGAAGCTATTCAATTACGAGGAGCTGTGGAGGCTAGATGTGGGAAGCTATTATCGAAAAAGGCTTTTGCCCCGCTTTATAAATAAAGCAATGATCAACCAGAGCCCAAGTACAAACGCACCCCACCACAACACATGCACACACCCAAGGCGGGATACATAGGCGCTGAGCGCAACAACACCACCCCTATCACAACAGAGCAATCGAGGTCCTCCATCGTGAACACGCCACCGCGAAGAGATGAAGCCGCATATGACGAACTGTGCACTCCAAGGCGGCGCCTTCAAGAAGGTTACGACACCAACGCGCCGCCACCGCCCCACCTGACGATCAGAGTTTTCCCTGGAGCAACACATTGGCCGATGAGAGCCGCGACGACGCCTTCAAGAAGGGAACGAGCTACGCCGCCACTGGTCCGTCCGAGGATAGAGCAGGTTTTCACCCATGCCAACATTCATCGCCACCGAACGCCACACCCACGGCGACCACGCCACCCATATGGCCATGGCCACCGGGCAGCACCAATCCACGGGCTCTGCACAAGAGCACCGCGGAGCCACCACCAGGGCTGCCGCCCCGGCCTCCCAGACCTGGATACCACCTCACCTGAGGCCCGCTGCTACCCCAACCGAAGAAACGAGCGGAAAGGACCCACCTTTCGCACCCCTGGGTGGCCCCCAACAACGAGACCCAGAGGGCCGGCCAAAACTAACCTCCATCGACCCGTCCAACGGCACCGGGCGCGAGACTAGGTCGGTCCTGCTGCCGGGCGCGAGACGGAACCGGTCCTGCTGCCAGGCGCGAGAATGGGATGGTCCTGCTGCCGGGCGCGAGACGGGATCGGTCCTGCTGCCGGGCGCGAGACGAGCGGTCCTGCTGCTGGGCGCGAGACGGGTGATGGATCGCAGCTGGGGGAGGACCTGCCCTTCGACGAGGCAACACCGGATGATGAGGGAGAGGGATCACAGGTCGAAACGGACTGCCTACGAACGAGCTGGCGCTGAGAAACCAGCCGTCGCCGCAGCCGGCCCGCCAAACTGCCGTGATGCCACCGCGGCACCGTGAAACGCCGCCGCAGCCCACAGCCGGAGCAGCAGCAACGCCGGGCCGATGCCCCAACCCGCGCCGCCCGCCGGAAACAAAGCGTCAGCTCCGGCTGGCACGCTCCACCACCACCGCCACCAAGTCACCGGCGTCGAGCGCCCACCAGAGGCACGGGCGGATCCCGGCCAGCCCCGCGGCGGCCGGCGGCCCACCCCGCCTCGCGAGCACCGCAACCGAGCGAGAGGAGCCATGCCGCCCACGGCCAGCGCCGTCAAAGATGACGCCCGTGAGATCTGGTCGAATACCAGCCGCGCCGCCGCCACCTTCGCGCGCACCACCAGTCCCAGCGCCGCCTGATGCACCGCGTCGCCCACCACGGCGGGAGCGCGCCGCCGCGCCGCGGCGCCCATCGCCCCGTCCTGCGAGAGATCGAGGTCGCCCCGCCGCCGCCGGCTGCGGGCGGGCTTTGCCCAGCCGAGCCTAGGGCGACGGCGAGGGAGGAGGGGGAGGAAGGCTGGGGGACCTGGCGGCGGCGGGCTAGGGGTTCCTCCCGGCCGCCGTGCGAGGGCGACACGGGAGGAGGAGGAGGGGGAGGGGGAGGGGCGCTTTGCCTGTTTCCCCATCTTAGCCGTGGGAAGCTATTCGATTTGGTGGACACCAGCAGCAACGATATGCAATTTCACATGGAGGGGGGTAGAGAAATGATGGAGCTCCCCAGCCTCCCAATGTGGTGCTTACAGGTTGATAGCAGCCAGAGGCCTCTGATGTCAACGGCTGCCAAGGTGTTGGAACTTGGAAGGTGCGATGACTTTAGAGGCCACACCTCACTATGTTCTTGTTGCTAATTACGAACCAAACCATACTGATGTTGAGGTGCAAATTTGTTCGTGAAACTGAAGCATGCTCTCTAGGTTAAATCTTGTGCCCAGGATCACCGAGTGTTGGTTCTGTGATTGATGAGACACATGCTTTCTAGTGATGAACAATGCCCAGGATCAGCAAGTATTGGTACTATGATTGATGAGGTGCATCCAGATGTGCTGTATGGTGCTCTAAGTGATGAAAATGCCTGCCTTCACAGAGGAAACTTTGCTTGTTGCCTTATTAAGGTGTTGCTAATGTTCACTTCCGACTGTCTACTACCACAAGATTTTCCCGGCTCTGGTGAGGGAGGGACGATGACAGCGGCACGCCTTCGGCTCGCTCCAGTGCTTGTAGTCATCGTTAGGTGGTCCATGGACCTGATTGTAATTTTTGTTACCTGTAATGTTCTCTGTACTATCATGGTTGATGAATAGATTGAAATTTTCTCTCGCAAAAAACAGAAGAATAGCACCCTTGTTGCTGAATGCTGATGGACAACAATACCCATGGCTCTCTGCATAAATGGGGATGCAGGAGGAGCAGCGAGTGCCAATGCTCATGATGAATGTTCTGAATAAAAGTACCACTAAATTTCTACCGATGCTGGTTGGTGGCAGCGTGATTCATTTATATATGGTTTTTCTGTTGTAATTAGTGAAGATAGATGAAACCGCCAAAAGCACCACTCATACACTTTTTAATAATTGTTAATGTGTTTTCCTGTTTTGCAGTGCTTATGTCGAATACAATTCTATTGGTGTTCCGTGCGAGTAAGGGTTAGTTTGAAAAAAAAGTTCTCCTTTACTCATGAAATAACTTGAGGTCACGCTCCCCTCGATATCTTTGATGAGAAATTACTGCCATTGCTGAGCTGAAGGATGGAATACTATTTGGTGGAGGCTCAAAAATGAAAAATTTAACGTCAATGTGCTAATGGGCCAAAACTGAAACCCAAACTGTGTTACGTACTATTCAGTGTCAAACTTGTCATTTTATATCTCTAGAAATATTTCAAATTTTGATTTGAATTTTTGTGACAATATACATTGGTGTTGTTCCAATGCACTAAAAAATTTCTGGATTTTTTCGAACATTTTTAAATGTGCAATGGGACACTGGTGCACCGGTAGCACCAATTGCCCCGACGCACCAGATACATCCCCCAATATGATCAGTTT